TTTTTTTTTTGGTTTTTCTCCGGTACCAGGAACCGAACTCACGACCTTGCGCTTGCCAGGCAGGCGCTTTTGCCGCTGAGCTAAATCCCCAGCCTCGACATTGCAGTTTTGATTCTGAGCCTTCTGTAGGAGGACAAAATTGGCCAGACTTTATTCTATCTGGTTATTTACCTTTAAAGCTGCCAAAGTGGGGATGGGGGAAGAGATTCAGTGTCTGTCAATCAGAAGAGGTGGAAAGTGGTAATCCTTTCAATGGGCCTTTTCCAATGGCAAGGAGAGGGCGAGGAGCTGGCTCTGCAGGAGGGCCTAGGGGGTGCTGGGTCTTTTTGGCCAACCTGGGGTTAAGTGGTGAGGGGAGAGTGTGGGAGGGAGCTGCAGAACCTGCCCTCCTGTACACCAGGTTACTAAGCAACCCTCTTAGCTGTTGCTAACTGCGCAGATACAACTTGGCTCTTTGGGAGCGAAAAGATGGGTTGCTGAGCCTGGGAGTACCCAGCCATCCCTTCTCACCTGGACACACCTGCGGGTGTCAGGCATCTGAGGACTCTCAAACTGATAATGGGTATTTGATGACTGGCCTCATGCAGATCCAGCCTGAATATGCATTATTTGTACCATCTGGATTTGCCCTTAAGCTTGCTGTAACTAGAACAAGGAGATTGGTTTAATAGGTATTTAGTGAGAAACATCAGCCTTTAAAAAATAATATTGGTGCGGCTGTTATCATGTCCCATAATTGGTTCAGCAAGGGGAGAAGGCAGAAAAGCCACACGGCAGGAGGGAAGTACAGCTGCCCTGAGGGGTAGCGGCAGCTGAGCTGGGAAAAGCGTTTATGAGATTCTTTCCTATTTATGTCTTGTGCCAAATGTTTTACAGTATCAGCTATTCTCAAGGCTGGGGATATTTGGGGATTTAGCTAGGTCAGAAGTTCTTTTAAAACTATCAGTCTCTCTCTCCTGATCCCTCCGCCTCCTTCCCATCCATACCAACCAGCTTTCTTTTAATTCAAACATAGTAATAAGGATTAAAAATAGAAAGTAATTTTTCTTCCAGCTTTAAATCTCTTATGGTGTAGTCTCCCATCTTCGCCATAAACATTGTGTCTAGTTTCTTATGTTGTAGAAATATTATGTCTCTTTTAGAAATATTATGTTTTAGAAAACCCTTAGAAACATTATGTTTATGTAACTGTACTGGACCCATTGTTTTGTACTTGAGGTTTTGCACTTAAAATTATATTTTTGTGTTTACATGGGACACTTCTAGATCATCCACCTCATTCTTGTGTGTGTGTGTGTGTGTGTGTGTGTGGGCGGGTACTAGATATTGAACTCAGGCCCCAGGGCTTTTGCATCTCCAGCCCCTTCTAAAATTTTTAAACTTTGAAACAGGATCTCACTAAGTCACTGAGTTGCCCAAGCTCGGCTCAAACTTGTGATCCTCCTGCCTCTGCCTCTCAGATTGCTGGGATTGCAGGTCAGCTGGGATTATATTGCCATGCCCAGCTCATCACGTTATTATTGGCTATGACGCTGGATCCTTAATAGTCCTTTGGATTAATTCCAGTCTTTTGCTTTTATACAGGATGCAGCAGAGAGCATTTTAATGTGTACATCTCTGTGGACAATTACTTTGCTGAGTACCTTCTAGAAATTAGGCCAGGGGCTGTCTACATCTTTGTGTGCATGTACGTGCTTTGGGAAAGGGAAAGGCTGCATGCTCCAGATGGCTCCATGCCTCCAGTGTGTTCTAAGTCTTGGGCTGCTCTGCCTCACCTTCCCCCATTCAGCCAAGCAGGGCTTTTCTTCTCCCTCACTGGCACTCTCTTCAGGCTAAAGGGCAGGTTGCTTTGCTCCCTGGCTTCTGGCCTGTGGCCTGTTACCTGGGTTTCTTCAGTGAAAGGATGGGAGTGAAGCAGAGTAGCTATTAAAATGTGCCATGCCGACTTTTGTGCATGGAGCACAGAGGGCTCAGTAATAACACTCATAATGGCCAGGAGCGCTTTAGCATCACGGATGTTAAATAGAGTAAGCAGTGAATGTACACATACCCTCCTGAACAGGGTTCAGTGCAGACAGCGTGAGACCATCCGCCCTGGCTCATGGGGCTGATGCCAGGTAGGTATAGTGTATAGAGTTTTGGCTTTTGAAGAGTCTTATATTTGCCTTAGCGTTGAAATAGCCCTTTCCCTGTTTCTTTGTCTTTTTTTCCTTCCTTAAAAAAAAGTAGTCCTGATTTTCTGAGCTAGGTAGTCATTTTGAAGTTTATTTTTATGTGGCTTGGGCTAGAGGCAATTTGGCATGTGTAGCGTGCATTTGCTCATGCTGCCATAACAAAAACCCACACACTGGGAGGCCTGAGGAGGAGGAATTTGTCCTCTCACAACTCCGGAGGCTGGGAGTCTGAGATCAAGTTGTTTGCAGGGGTGTTTTCTGGAGGTTTCTCTCGTGGGTCTGCAGATGCTGGCTTGTCCCTGAGTCTTCATGTGGTTGTCCCTCTGTATGTCTGTGTCCCGATCTCCTTTTCTTATAAGGACACCAGCCATATGGGATTAGGATCTCACTTTAACTGAGTTACCAGGATCCTCTCTCCAAATATACTTGCTTTCTGCAACACTGGGCATTAGGACTTCAACATGTAAACTCAGATAGTGGGGAGGGAGTCTCAATTCAGCCCATAACAGCACTGAACTATAGTTTTTGAAGTGTCACCTTCCCACGGATGGCTGTTAACCTAATAAAGGAGACCCAGGTAGTGAGGGGCTGCTTGTCTTTGAGTTTCTCACTGTGTTGTGGTTTAGATTTAAAGTGTCTCCCAAAAGCCTCATATGCGCGGAAGCTGATTGGCTCACGGGATGGCTATATTTATCAGTGAATTCATCCCCTGGTGAGTTCATTGCTAGCTGTGCTGTTAGGAGGTAGGCCTGGTTGGAGGTGGATCACTGAGCACATGACCTGGCAGGGTGTGTTCTGGTCTTTGGCTCCTCCCTTCTGTCTCTGCTTCCTGCTTCCTGCTTCCTGCTTCCTGTTTCCATGGGTCTAGCAACTTTCTTCTGCCAGGCTCTTCCCTCATGCCATTTCTATCTTGGAGCCAGCCTATCCATGAACTGAAAGTGTGAAGGAAAATAAATCTCTCCTTCTCTCAGTTGGGAATATTGGGTACTTTGTACCAGATGAGAAAGTGACTAAGACACACTGTGTTTCTGGCTCTTTGTTAGCCTCCCACATGGAGGGGCTGGGCATGCTGAGGAAGCAGGATGGGACAAGGTAGCATGAAGCTGAAATGTTGCTCAGATAGCAAGCAACTGGGAGGAAGTCCACGGGGTTTGAATAGGATTGTGTGAGACCCCTGGCAGGTATACAGCCTCAGTTAATAAAATGAAAGTGTGATCCAGGGCTCTCCACTCTCACCATCCCTGACATGATGGACTCTGGCATCTTTGGGGAGATTAGTACAAATACATATTTGAATGTGTGAAAGTGCTCTCCTGCCTGAACGTGT